TCCCCAATTCCGTTGTGTTTACAACAGTTGGTGGCTATCGATCGAGACGTAAATAACTCATGTTTGTTTGAGGGGCGTTCTCTGTTTTCCATCGATTTTCCGCCGGACCGCGGTAGGCATCTCGAAAGGCTATGCGCTTTTACGTGTCGAGGCGTCTCAGAAGTGTGAGTGACGCGCGTGTGTGCGTCCGGCTCGGGGCGCACTGCACGATTAGCGCGGTACCGCCACGCCGCCTGATTGGGCCATCCATCACCGCCGCCGCCCCCCGCGAACCTCACCCACCACCCTCCGGCCCTCTGCTCGCACACGCCCAACCCTCCAAAAGCGACCATATCCCCCTCTCTCTAGGTTCACTTTGCCACGCCAGTCGCGGGGTTCGTTTCCACCGACGCGCTAATGCCGCGACGCGCGCAACAGAGATCGAGGCGTATTTTTAAGACGGATACTTAGTGCGTTACATTATTATAGTTTTGTTGTTTTTTTTCGTCGCAGTCGTGTAACTCACACGGTGTTTTCGTATGGCGGCCGGGTCGACGCACCGCTCCGGTTATGATACCGAATGCCTTAAGATTTTTGATTGAGGTTTTATTTTATTTGGTGTTACGTTCGAACGATTACATTTCTTGTATTCGTTCACCGCTCGCCCGGTTTTTGTTTCGACGCATTTCATTGTTCGTAACGAGATCGATTTTAACGATAAGCGACTGCTTTTAATGAAGACGTGGGTGTGCCTTAGTCTGCAACGCGCTTTGAATCGCGGCCTAAATAGCCCATGTACTTGAATTTTCTGACATTTCGCTCTCAACTGACACATATTTACCCACTACGCCCACTGTCTATATTACTGAACTTACAAAAACACGTTTGACCAATTACAGTTATCAAAGCTCACCATAAGTTTGTTAATCAAATGCCACCCACACGTTACATGGAAAGCTCAAAGCATTTTAATATCGCATACTCTTACAAAAGCTGGCTATCTTTTATAATCATCCATCATTAAGTTCCGTTACAATATTAAATGAACAAAAAACTAGTACAAGAATGAAAGATAAGATAAAATTTTCCAAACATACATTTATTAAGTATAATGAAATTATAATATTACAATATGTGCGTTTTGAATATAATAAAATTGCTTTCTTCAATCCAAAGCGGAACGTTAAAGCAATCTGTACATTCCGTTTACGTAAATGGAGGCTTATTCGTGTATTAGCATATAATCGGCCTCTCAGAGGCTCGCATACTTGGAGGGTGAGAGGTCAGGGCAGAGCGCCGGTGAAACGAAACTTACAAATTGCACACTCACGCAACAGACCACCGAGTGTCTACATTAAAAATTGAGATGCCCACCAATTTGTATGCCACGTCCGTTAATAGATGTCACTTTCGAGGAGCGACACAAACTTAAAACAATATATCAATGCTCCATTCAAAGATATCGCGGAAATATAGGCTCATTATTAATATTGTCAGTTTTACGACGAGGTTTTTACGATCATAAGATGCTTTCGCTCGCTTGAACTTCCGCGATGCAGTGTTTATTGAGTTGCCGTATCGTGTGTCGTGGCGAGACGAACTTTACGAGACGATTACTTAAATACTTTATTAAATAACCAATAAAAACTTAGCGATAAAATCAGCCATTATTACACTCACGCTGTACTCATTTATAAAAACGGCAATAGTAAACAAACCGGTAGTTTATAAAAGCTCAAGGATCAGATCTCAATCAATGGTCATTACAAAGTAATGTTTTAGCGCTCGTTTAGACGCTCCAACGAATCACTGGCTGTTATTTAAATTGCCTAAGACTGAAAGTAATTTAGCTTGGCTAAAAACTGGTTTCGCTGTGAAATTTGCGCTATCTCCCTCGTATCGATGGATAGGCTCTGTTTAATGGCATACGTTATAAAGTATGGTCACCGGTGACTAAAGCCGATGCAATTTTCGCGACCCCGGTGAACGATCGGTGCGTCGACAACGCGGGAACGTTTAAAAGGCTGGAGCAAAATGAGTCCGACCGCTAAAATGTATCTTGGCGTTTAAGCGGTGAGCTTTGAGCTCGCTGCGATGTATGATAAAGACACGCGAGAGACTGCGGGCGTAGATATATTGAAATAAATACTGAGTTCGATGGAGCGGAGTTTGTAGTTAGGTCGTTTGAGATCGCACACAGCGCTAACGAACGCCGATACCCGTTCTAATTTGCGGACATGGCGAGCGATCGATCTCATTGTATTTTTTAAAAAAGACACCCGAAGGCACATTATGAGCTGAACACAAATTGAGCAATTTCGTCCCGTCTCTTTCCCGCTTGAGTTTCTGGCTATATTCGTCCTTGTTTTCTAATTTCGCATCTTAAGCGCGAATTGAAAATGGGAATATTAAAAATTACGTGCTTTTTCAAAATGAGCTTAGACCCTATATAATTATGCTGCCGAGGATATGATGAACAAGCTCAAGACTTCACCAAATGCAATTAAAATATACTTAAGTAATTTTTATAGATAAATTTAAAGTTTTTTAACCACCTTTTAGGTGGTCCAGTTTTTTAATGTATCAAAAATCATATGAATTTAGGCCAACATATCTTAATAGAAAAAAAAGGAAGAAATAAGCATCATGATAATATTAATAATAAATCTTCATCAAAAGCGATATAAAATTAGTACATACATACATATATACTATATCAGATATCATGACATTTCTTCTAGTAAAAAGATATTTTAATACATTCTAATATGATTATTACATTAAAAGATTATATTAACAAGCGATGCAAATGTTAATACTGTATCGTTTAATTTAAATAACATCTTGGCAGCTTATACGAGCTACCATTAACCGACTATTGAGGAAAAATATAAGTATAGAATATCTATAATAAAGATATTATACAATGAATAACTATAAACATTAAGGTATAATATCAGCTGTTCCTTAAAAATAAAACCAAGTTTGTTTAGCTCTATATTCTAATTTATGGGAAAATCATCGCTGATGCGGGCAACTCTGATTCAACTTAACCTAAACATTCCAGCGCAGCGGGTCACCATAGCAACCACACGATCAGACCGTCCTGAATCTGCTATAACCTAAAAACAACCCTCCCTCTTTAACCACTGAGCATATTATCGCTTCCACGCTAAGATGAAGTTATAACATTTCAGTACTAAACGCTACAATTCTCATTACGCGGTCATAACAATGAAAACGCGACCCTAATGTTAGGAAATAAAGTGCTATTTCAAACGCGCGAATGACTTAAGAATAGCAACATAAGGAATTGTTTTATCTCTTTTACACGTCGTAAAGACGAAATCGCGCGTGCTCTTTCTTTCAATCCTTTCTATTTAAGGACGGCATCGATTGACTACGATTGTCCTTTTCTATCGCAGTTTTTGTGTAGTGTAATCCGTCTTCGGCATTCATTCGAGACGTTAGATAAAAATCGGAATTGTAACGAAGCTCCGAATAATGGCTTCGATTCTTCCAATTTTAGTACTTTATTTCAGATCTTTTTAACGAAAATGTTATCATGAGAAATTCTTAATGGAAAAATAACAATAAATCTTACTAGCATTCTTTCGTTTTATTCTAATTAGAAAAGGCCTTGGTCTTCATTGTTCTAATACAAACTACGGCTTACGCTATATTTAGAATTATTCATTTTTGTTTCTGTCTCTATAAAAGTTAACATTTTAAATATAGATAGTTAACAAACCAAAAATAAAAACCTACACTTCTAACCCATGACATTTTATTTTACAAAAACATTTATATATTTTAAAAATAACATAGGCTTATACGAAATGCCTGTTAAGTGCGAGTAATTGATTTAGTGTAATGGAAACGGGCAATGTAGCTGATGTATTATGATACGAGAGAGACAGGTATATATCATACCCACGAGCGGAAAAGAGATGAATGGTGTTGACATGTACAGTACTTAACGGTGCAAGTGCATGTTTCTGTTATTGAAATTGTTTCTTTATGACATTGGGATAGGATTAAATATAGCTTGAAGTTTGGTACAACGTTTTATTGTTATGAATGGGCTAATAGATGGCGTTGCTATATCGATATCTTTTGTTATATGACAAGTGTTTTGATTAAACTTTATCTGAGCCTGATTTTATAGTTTGTTTCTGAAAAAGTTAAATTCTTAACTCATTAAATGCCTTTAGTTTTAAAAAATATACAATTTTGCCGTCTATAATTTAACAATTTCAGGCGATGATGCATATAAAGAAAGATGGCATTGCAAAATGGAGTAGGTGTGACCAATGCTTTTGCGGCTTCGTGTATCGATGTCAACTACCTTTCGGATACGGGATATAGTGTTAAACATACACCTATATAATAAGTTTATTGGGTGCTTTAATTTTAAAAGCTTAAATTTTAGTAGATATTTATTTAGATGATGATTATAGATGATCTGCTCTTCATTTTCACGGTCAGAATGTAACAATACAATATTTATAACAAAATAGGCATAGAAATGAACGTAAACAAGTTCTCGTGCGTAAAAGTATGAAATTTGTCGTAACTTTTCGACACTTCATTATAAGATCGATTTGGCTGTCAGCGACTCAGTGTTCGAGGCAGCTTTATAAATATTTATTTAAGACTCGTGTGGACAGATGCAGAATTGTGACTTGTTAAGACGATCTCACTGACGAAATGACTAATTTTATGTACGTACGCACAATAAAAGGTGGTTTTTTATCTTGCAATCAAGCTTAATGATTATATCTGAAGGAAAATTGTTGGCTATAATAATTATTGTTCACAACAATTCGCAAAAATTACGTTATAAGTATTTAATTTATTTCAAATATTAATACCACCATGTAAAATGAGCGTAGCATTACGACCATTTAATTTTAGTCGAATAATATATTGCAAATATCGATTCCGCGGCTCCATTCTCATTAATGTTTCAGTTTTACTAAATCAATTTTGATTAAACACTAATATAAAGCTATATTTACCTGGATATTCACCGGGGCTGCCCAGGAACACTGAGGAATACACCCGTCGCGCCACGTCCGGCGGCGACGACCACTCCCGTCGAGATCCACACCATTTGCCTGTAAAATTACTTAAAGTTAGTTTAACCTGTTATTTAAAAGGGATAAGAAATCAAGGATTTTTAACTATAATTTTTATACATAGATATAAAGGAGGTCTATTGGTAATGAGCTGGATTGGAAAGCCAAGAAATACGGATTCAAATTCGGGTCTCGCAACTTGATTACCACTTGCTAAAACGTGACATTTCCACCAACCTGTTTTTGGCTAGTGTACCTAGTGGAATATGGCTTGAGCCCCATGGAATTGAGGGGAGGCCCAAAAATTGGACTAAAATACTAAGTAAGTAAAGTACCAGTTGTCTCTCATCTCTAAGAAAAATCATCTACCTAAGTTATCTACCTACGATAGGTACATCATTCCGTTGATACGTAAATGTAAAATAAACAATCTAATACGATGACGCATTTATACCTACCTAACGTTTTAGCTTTTGTAGTGTAAGTACACAAAGGAAAAACTATGAGAAATTGATACTGCGTAGTAAATATTTATGTAATTAAACGAAATATTTACCTTACGCGGAAATAAAACTCATGACCTACGCTCCATGTCCTTTAGCTTAATAATAGCCTACTTTGCCGTTTAGGTATGAATAAAATTAGATTTCTTATTCTAGAAAATAAGAAGTATGAAATATAAATAAATTATAAAATAAACCAACTTTTTTTACGTATTTTAAGAAGAAAAAAAATAAAATAAAGTCTATTTTATTGTTTTTTCCACGAACCTACGATACTTAGTATTGAAGTTTACAAACTAAGTTACCTACCACTGCGCCAAACAGTTACACGAATAAACTGTTATATTAAGACATCTTCTATCTAATGGATATTTCCAAGTCTCACAGGACCAGGACGTCATTACGTAAAAAAACATTCAGAGAAAAAAATCGAAAAAAACACCTCCTGGGATCGCGAAGGTGTTACCACCCCAGTCTTTTCTTACCCCAAAAATAAGGGGAGGCAATATCATACACCATTAGCAATTTTCCCACTTTTTTAACGTTGTCACACTGCATAAGTATATTATTCGCTTTATGATGGGAGCAAAGACACCTAAAATGATCTTATTTTATTTTCTTCTCAGCAGTTTAAATAATTTAGCTTTTTATAACAATTTTAAATTATAACGTACTAAACCACCGATTGTGTAGATAATATTTATAAACACATAACACCTCTCTTTTAAATTGGTTAAACCACCCAAAACATGAACACGGAAGATAAAAATTATCAACTGTTCATTTTAATAATATAATTGAATAATAGCTTTGCAATAATGCAGTATTTTAGTGCGGGACCGAATATACAGTTCGAAAAGATCCCAACTACCATAATTTTCGCTCGCTATACACCTTTTTCGATATACGTAATACGAACAAAAGCGGCGCAATGGTGCATGCATGATTGATAGCGGAGCGATGACGCTCAACTCCAAATGAACATTCGATTTCATGAAAATAAAAGCCCTTGACCCGCGCTTTGTTTCCATTCCCTTAACGTTCCACGTTATAAGATACTCAGATAGCCAATTTGAGCCTCCGACCTACGAGGGAGACCGCGTAATGTAGAATTACGTCGTTGAAAAAAACGACAATTGCCCTATTGCTGCGTCAAAAAACAAGTTAACGCGGTAAACAAATACTAAAAATCTTGTAAGCGAAATAAGGCAGCCCTCTAAATAAGAATTAAAATAAAATTGCTGAGGTGTGACTCCCTCGAGGGCTGGCGACGATATTCATAAGGCGAAAAATTGTAATAACCTGGTGCATATCTGAATAGGGCCTGTGAGGTGGCGATGCTATGTTATTTATATGGGGGCGATACCTCGTGTTTGTTGAGGAAATCGTCTAAATATGCTGTGCCAGAGCCGCCGGCGCGTGACTTTCCGTTCAAAAGAATAACAATTACATATGTTATTATTGTTATACCTATAGTATAAGCTCTAAGACCATTGGACGACACGTTTGGCTCAGTTTGTAGTGATCCTACTCGCTGTGCCAGCGGTCGCGGGTTCGAGTCCCGCTGGGGGCATTTATTTGTGTGATGAGCACGAATGTTTGTCCTCCAGTCATGGGTGTAATAATATTTATAATATGTATATATTTAAAATTATATATGTGTAGTATATCAACTATCTGGTATCCATAACGCAAGTCTCGTATCTTACCACGTAACTAGATGGTGATGTGTGTTAATGTCCCAACATATTATATTATATATTATATTCGATTTTTGTTTAACGTATGTGGAAGAATGGTTTTAATTTACAACCATTTCTCTACATATATTAAAGAACCCTTAAATAGGAATGAGTAAATCAAAGCTATTACTTTTTGTATAGACCTATAGTGTGTTATTATTAGCAGTGAGTTCAATATAATTATTATAACCAGTCTTTTCTTCGTAATTTGGTAAAAAAAATTGTAATTTGTCCGATGATACAATATTTGTTATGTATTGTGTATTTTCTCTATAAGTAAATTTTATTATTATTATGAGAAAATGTCTTAAAACACAATATTAACTCTATTTTATTTTTATTTATATAGCTCTACAACTTACATCTAAATAGCATACGAACAAAAATAGTTAGACCTATAAATAACTTCTATTTAAATTAAAACAGAATTATCAAAATCTTTAATTAATCTAACAATTTGTTTAATCAAAACCATCAGAATATTTTCGTTCTAAGCAATTCATAACCAACAATTAGAGGGATCAAAAAGAACACAATGGAGTTTATTTTGATTACACATCTATAATTCTTTTGGGTGTTTTCCGATTCAACAATTGTTGCTTTTAGATCAGAATCGGTTATATTATAATAACAGTGTATGGAAGTAGACTGGGGCATAATTTGTTCGAACCAGCAATTATATGTACAGAATAATCACTATTAATTACCACGTATTTCTGTTTTTGGCTCTTCGCAAGTGTTTTTTGTCTGTGGTTTGCACATCGTTCAAGTTTTAGTCGTTTTATTATACTTTAAAGTGTAGAAAGATATGATTTTGTGATAAAAAGCGGTTTTATAATTATATTTTATAGGTGTATATATTATCTGTACTTATGAAACGTGTAGACAAATCATAAACAAAACAACAAAAGCAATATAATAACTACTTGTTTTTATTATTTTTTTAATCTACTTACACAATACTTGTCTATGATTGATTATTTATATACTTTAAAAATATTGTCATAAAATTATCAATACCGAAATTATCATATTTTTATAACAAAATAAAGAAATATAACAATTTTATATCAATAAAGAAGCAGAATAAATAAAAGCAAGCACCTGCCAGGATATACCTGAAAGGGCCACAGTGTGTCTTCTCACGATAAATCACTCTTTTTCTCCTGAGACACCCGTGTTTTATGTCCTAAGCTTCGGTCGTCGGGTCTTTTCGAGTTTTTTTTCTAGTTTTATTATTTTTTAAACGGTGATAGTAGAATCGCGTTATTTTTTTTATAGATTATGATATATTTGCGGATTTAACATCCATAAAGCAGAGGGACTTTTATGTGTTAAAGAAAAAAACATCTAATTTATTTCTATTTTTTTGTCTATGATAGATGTTCTGTCATTTGTATAAAGTAACATATTTTTGCGATTCAAAGTAGCTTAGAAAAATATATTTTTTTAGTTTAAGTATATTAAATTAGATATTAAAGACAAAAAAAATGTGATCTAAAAACCCACGATAACAGCTTGTAAATAAAAAAAATTAAAAAAAAACCGCAAGTTTTCATATACTTGAAGGAACCCCACATATACGTAGGCAATATCCCGGGTCTATAAAGCAATTTCCTTAATGGTGCGCCCATAGCTCTCCGGTAACCCTGATCCTTATCGATCTAGGACCGAGGAAATTAAAATGGAAAAATTCGGCGGAATTGATATTTTAGTTTCGAAAATATACGTATGTATGTTTGCATTAACTTAATCTCATATACTTTTAAAGCAAGTTTTTTCAAAATCAGTATTTTCTAGTGTCAATCTAAATAATCAACTTTATAATATAATATCTGCTAGTAAAGTTATTATCAGCTAGCATCTTTTCTTCGCTATACTCGAGCGCTTTTTATATTTTTAACTAGCGGGTCACCCTCGGGTTCGTCCCTAGGTACGTTTTAAAGGTTGGTATGGAATAGATAGAATATCCATACTAATATTATAAATGTGGAAATATTATGTTTGTTATTTGTTTATCTTTTGTCCTTTTCTAACGTCAAAACGCGTTGCTGTCGCACACTTATAACTTCGTAGTTTCAGAGATTCTTTCTCCCAAATCCCTGTCTGGATATGAAAATGCTTAATTTTGCAATAAAGTAAATAATCGGGATAAAAACTATACTAACTTTTAAGTTGGAATAAATGACAAATAAAAAAAAAACATTAAGATCCAATAAGTAGTTTCAGGACATCGTGACACAGGAATTTTATATATTAAGAATATATTTATATATATTCTATCTATAACCGTAGCCTATGTTTTAGGGACCTACTCCAGATAATAGTACTATCTGTTTACTAAATCTTATTCAAATCTGTTCAGCGTTAGAGTGTGAAGAGGCACAATCTTTCGTATTTTTTTACAATATAGTTACTTTTTTTTGCTTTTAATGTAAAGTTTTAACCCCGTCGTTGTATTTATTTGACCACTTTTTAAGATATTATATTTAAATTTACTTATATTAATATAAATAATCTTTCTTCTAAAACAAATTTATTTTATTTTTACTATATTTATTACTAATGGCTCAACTTAAAATAAAAACAAATCTATCCCACGGGAACCGTCCATTTTTCCCGGGATAAAAAGTAACCTATGTGTTATTCTGATGTATGAGCTATATTATTGTTAAGTTTTTTGCATGAACGAGTAACAAACATACATAGTAGGTACATCCTTACAAACTTTCGCATTTATAATATTAGTATGATAGTAGGATTCGTTTCGATTTCTCTTACAAGACATGAATTA